TCCTGGTGCCCCATGATTTAAAGTCTTACGCTGTGTCAAAAATGCCTTCCGAGCAAACCTTGCACTGGTAACATTGAAGCGCATTTTTGGACAGTTTGATGGAAAAACTTTTCATACAATCTTCAATAGTTTCATCCGCCCCCATTTAGAGTACGGAAACACAGTACTTTCCCCCTCGCTCTAAAAGGACAAGGACACTTTGGAGCGTATCCAAAGGCGAGCCACGAAATCAGTTCGAGGACTCAAATTTAAACATTACGAAGAGCACCTCTATTCACTAGACTTTTACCCATTAGAGTATAGGCGTCTTAGAAGTGACCTTTTGATGGCTTACAGTATCCCTAATACTTCTGGACATCTTCTTACACACCTACTTAAGCTTAGTTCGAACACTAAACTAAGGGGTAACAACCAGAAACTGGAGACACAACATAGCATAACGGATTGTAGACATAACTTTTACTCCGTAAGATTTGTCAAATGCTGAAACGCTCTGCCGGCCGAGTTAGTTCAAGCAACTTCCCAGGAGTCCTTGCACAGGTAACTTGACCCATTCTTAAGGACCAAGAACAGCATCATAATATGATTTCAGTTTCAGTTTGGGAAGGACAGGATGCTCTATGGCCTATGTAAGTCTTGACAATGGTGGTCTCTCAGTTGATTCAACATTCTTTTGATAGAGTCGACGGATGGAGCCTCAACCACGTGCTGAGTTAGTAAATATCACTCGTTGATGATTCGATGGGAAAGTCGATAGTCAGCTGACAAGTAATTTGTTCTCGGCTTGTGAACTTTTTTGGAGTGTCCTCGTAAATTCTCTGTTTTGGAAGACAAGAAAAATGAGAGCATGTTAGTTGCAAATTTATCACTAAGCAATCTGTAGACTGTAATCAAGTCGCCTCTAGTTCTGCGATATGACAACGGGAAAAGGTTCAGCTTGGCCAGTCGAGATTCATACGGAAGCTTTGCTATTCCGGGAACCGGCTTAGTCGCCGTTCTCTGAACCTTTTCCAGAAGCTCACTGTCTTTTTTTAAGCAGGGGCTAGCCGCTTGTATGCAGTACTCAAGTTTAGGACGAACGGACACTGTATACAAAGTCAAAAATGTCTTAGCGTTGACATGACTAAAAGCCCTACGTATTGACCATAACGTTCTAAAACTTTTGGCGGCTATTGCACGGCAGTGTGCAGAAGTCTTTAAGTCTTGACTAACGATAACTTCTAAGTCATTATATGTCTGGAAGACAGGTAGCTCAGTGTTATTCATCATGCATGTATCTGTGCCTTGATGACCGATATGCATCACAACACACTTGGATGTATTTATCGGCAACTGCCATGTTTGAGACCATTCAGATAACTTCTTCAGGTCGTTTTGAAGTTCTAAGCTATCACTCTTACATCGTATCGCTTTCCATATCTTGACATCGTCAAGATAGCAAGACTGATGATGATAGGAGACGAGGAAGGTCATTTACATACAAGAGGAATAGCACTGGCCCCAAAACTGTACCATGGGGCACTCCACTAAGCACAGTTTCCCAGCTAGATAACTTTGAGTTCACCCGAACTCTTTGTTGACGCCCAACTAAGAAGTCTTTTATCCACATCAATAAATTGCCTCCAATCCCGACTTTTCTTAACTTATATAACAGCCGGTTGTGCGGAACTTTATCAAAAGCTTTACTGAAATCAATGAAGGCGACATCTACAGGTAGCTTTTGGTTCTTAAGAGCACACCAGCTTTCACGAGCCACTAATAAGTTGGTGAGACAAGAATAACCTATTCTGAAGCCGTGCTGCTTCTCCGAGAGGATCCGGTTTTTATCGAGATACTTAAACATCTTCTTCCGAATAATCTTTTCTAAGATTTTAACAACCACACTAGTTAGGCTTACGGGGCGGTAGTTCTCAGGTTTGTGTTTCGTGCCTGTTTTGAAGACAGGACTTACTATGGCGTTTTTCCAATCTTTCGGTAAGCGACCATGCGTAACGGATAGGTTAAAGCATGTACTTAAAGGGCTTGCAACGAAGTTAGATGATTCCTTCAGTAGCCTAGGATGTAATTCATCGGGCCCCGTGGATTTACTTATGTCAAGCTTATTTAGTAGTCCAAAGACATCGAGTTCTTTAATGGTCACGCTATCCAGTGTATGTATGGGGGATCTGTATACGCTGACGAGGAGGGTGCTTCTATGGTAGTTCGAGAACGCTTGAGCCTTACCAAAGTCGTCCTCCACTAATGATGAAGCAGTACTATCTCCCCATAGAGCAGGAATATTTCATTTTCTCCTTGTCCTTTGGTTTACATAGGAATACAAGCGTTTAGGACATTCTATGGATTCCTTAACAAGTTTTTCTCCGTACAATTTTCTAGACTTACGGAGGGTCGAGGCACAAGTGTTCCGAGCCTTTCGATACTGAGATTTTGACTCATCAGTCCCCAGTAACCTAAATCTATCCCACATTTTCCTTTTCTTACGGAGAAGGATACGGACCTCCCTATTGAAGCATGGTGGTGAGTTTTTCGGCACCTTTGGTATAGTCCAAGGGATGTGACGTGTGGTAACTTTTAAGTATGAATTTCGAAATGCGTCCCAAGCCGTTTCAATGGAGGATTCTGGGTCCATTGTCCAATCCATTAACGATGCTGAGTGCATGATGTCTGGTATGTTTGCTTTCCAGACGTTGGGTCTGGACTGGACTGACGCGTCCTCATGACAGGCAGGTATATAGAAGTCAAAAGTTAAAACTGTGTGGTCACTTTTACCTAAGGGTGGCATATGATGGAGGTTCGCAACATCATCCTCATAGTGAGACAGTATAAGATCTAATAAGGATGATTCAGTGTCCGGATCGTACCTTGTCGCTTCTTTCACATGTTGCACTAGAGCACATGTGATAATCCCATCAACTAGTTCCAGCTCGAAAGAATTCTCCGACAATTTAGTTCGCAGTTTTTCCCAGTCTACCATAGGTGCATTGAAGTCCCCTAGGATTAGACATCGACCACTTTTAGACCAAGTATTGAAACTGCTTAACAGGATCTCATTTGCCTCACAGCTTGGACTGCGATAGACCAAACCAATCAGCAGCTCTTGTCCCTTGCATTGCAAGCGGCAACTAACTAATTCACACGTCACACTCTCATGGGATACACTATCAATAATGGTAAATGGGATAGCATTCCTAATGAATAGAGCTACTCCCCCTCCTTTGCGCTTTTGTGTTCTGTCGGCCCTTACTAACGTAAAGCCCTCGAAATCATGTTCTATACTATCTATAGCCTGTGTCAGCCAGGTTTCTGTTACTGCGATTATGTCTGGCTTTGTAGAGTCAATCTGTACACCTAGTTCCGATCGCTTATTAAGTAAGCTTCGTGCATTGGTGTAACAGATCCGAAGCCTGTTTAAGTGCCTTCGTGCTTCACCTAGAGTGGCTTCGGCATCATTCTCTGTCTAAGCCTTACAACCCGAAAATTTACAATTTTCAGGTCCTTTTCGCCAGCGTCTAACCTATGTTGTAGTTCTTTCTCGGCTTCCCGTCTTTTAACAAAGTTTGCCAACGGTAGGTCCTTTCAGATAAAGACTCCTGAACCTTTTAATTTGTGTCCATTTTGTAAAATTAGGTCACGTTCGTTCGAAGAGCTGAGTACTACTTTAAGCAGTCTGGAATGATTTGGTTTCGAGTCAGCTAGACTCTCTAATCTGTACACCTTTAGCAAGGTGACCACGGTCATATTTTGAGGCATGAGTTGATTAAGCAGCTGCCTAATCAGTACAATGTCATGCTCAAAACGAGCTTTAGGTTCAGAGCTATCGCTCTCCTTGATTCTATGAAAAATAGCTGATCTGTCGCTATGATCAGCTTTCAATTTTTCAACCACTTTTACGGGGGCAGGTTTCCCTTTTATATCCCTACTTTTCTTCCTTACAACCTTTACCAATTCGTCAACGGTGCTGGTAGAAGCAATATCAGTTGCGTCAAACCTAGTGTTGGGTTTTGGGGGGTTGTCGAAGACCTGAGAGGTCGTGTTATGTTTACCGTTTGAAACCGATCGAGCCTTGCGATTGCGGCTTCTAGGTGTTTCCCGTTGGATCCCATCTGGGAGAAGGGGGACAGAAGACCCTACTTTTCTTGAGCTTTGGTTTAAGGCAGGCCACTTTGGAGACTGCTTTTCCTTCTTTGACGGGCGTGAGTCATCTATCACCGGACTCACCCTAGTTTCCTTCACGTTGATTTGCGTATCGACAGATCGAGTGCTGTTTGACGCGTTCCGACTATGCTTGTTAAAACACTTCTTTGCAGCATCAACCAGTGAGATGGCCTCGGTTAGTAAGCTGTTTGCATCCGAGCAGCACTGTTGACAAAGCCACACACAACCCTTCTTACTGAACCGCTTGAAAGCAGCAGGCGTTAAGTTCGTGCAAACTTCGTGGTATCAGCCTTTGCACTCGTCGCACTGCATGCCGCTTTCAACAGGATAACGACAACCCGGACGTTGACAACTGCTTTTTTTACACTGTCCGGTCATTTAGGAGGGGTTCTTTTTCAAGATGCGATGATACTCAGAAACAAAAACAAAAAAATAATCAATGACCAAAAAGTGAAGAGCTGTAGATTGCTAGGACCAAAAGTACTAACAGATACAGTTGAAAAAAAGATACTCAAGAGTACCAACGACAAAACAGTAAAAACGATACTCTAGTCGAATACTTTAACTGAAATAAATTCAATTAAAGTGAAAACAGTAGTCTTGATACGTATTAAACGATCAAAACAAACAAATTTATTCAGCGAGGAAAAATACCACTGTCCTTTTTAAATAGCGCGGTTGAATTACCAATTCCTATTTTCTCTTTTATTGTTAACATACCTAGGTTCCTGACTGGAGGATTTGGTGATTCTCTGCTACTATACACGGAAGCCTGTTAAGAGAAAGCTTCTTCTATTCCGTCAACAACCATTTGAACCATTTGAATTCTAACGACCTACAGCATCATTAAGTGTCTGGTTTGAACGTTACCGTTACGGTAAATGTTACAAATAGGTTTTAGAATTCAACCAAACTGGGATAAGGCTCTAAGGTAAATGGGCATAATTATTTGTAACTGATAGTGAAAATGAAAAATACATATGGTTTCATCAGTATGACACTGGTGAGTCTTATGAGCCGCTAATTTGTAAGTTTCTACCAAGTATCACAAACTGGAGAACAGAGGGTTTTCGTTGGTACCGGATAACGAAAATGTTTTTTGCGATTTGGTTACACCTGTAATGCTAATTTGTCAAACGAATTGTTTTTTAGAAGCTCTTAAAACTATCGTCAGAAAACCCAATCATCAACAAATTTTTTCAGTGTCCAGATTCCTCCTTCGACGTTTCGAGCGGTATTTCTAGAAATTCAGGTCATAATTCAGTAACCTGTAATCCTCAGCCTCGTCCTCATGTATCTTCTTTTGATGTTAGTGCAAGTGGTGAACATTTTATTGCTTCTTTCACTGGGTCATCTGTAAACTTGTATGAAACTAGAACGGGAAATATTCGGGTATGTACCGGTCTTTCATGTTGTTTTGCTATGAATATTTCACTTCTACAGAACTGTAGCTTAGATAAAGTATGAACCCCAACTCTTTTGCTGTGTTTCGTAGTACCTGCAGGTACGGCTTGGTCCTTGGTGATTATAAAAAGCGAAGTATAATCTCATACAAGGCACCAGCTAAAATACTGTGATTAAAATATATCAGAAAGACTGGAATTTGTGAACGACCTTTGCGAAACGCTCAGGTGACCTTGAAAAGCCCATCTATCTAATGAGGTCAAAAAATGTTACTAATCCGAATTATGTTTTGGAGCTTTGATTTAAGAATTAAATTTGGGGATTTCATCACTGACCGATATCAGCTGGAATGCCAAAACGCTATTTAGCCAAGTGGATGAGTCAATATCGCATCAAAATCCAAACATGACCTGTCCTCTGCTTTCTGTCGCAGAGTTGAAGTCATTGTTGAATGTACCGTCAAAATTAGACCACATAATGTATGTGAATATCACGAGGTATATCTGTCATCAGTTTCACCAAATATGTAAACCACCGTCGTATTCGGGTTCCACAAACTGCTTGAGAACATTCCCGCACTATCTGAAAAGGACAGTGGTATTGTTTCTCGTTGAGTTAATTAACTGTTTTAATCGTAAATTACACATCAAAACTACTGTTTACACTTTAATTGCATCTACTCCAGTTAAAGTGATATTGTATTGAGTGTTTTGATTTTTCTTTTGTGTATTTATTGCGTCGAAGCATACTTGGTCGACTTTTACTTGATTTATTTAGTTAAGGTTTGAGAATTCTTTTACATATCCTGTTTGTGTCACCGTTGTAGTTGGTTCTCAAGATGGCTAGCTCTACTCATAAATGTGGACAACCATATTGCTTTAGTCCCCGTGGAGGAAGGGATGCAATGTGATGAGTGTAATAAGTGGTTCCATAAGATGTGCACTCGGTTAAGCCCCACTGCATATAAAAGGTGCTCAAAGCTCAACTCTCATTGGCTTTGTAGTTTTTGTTGCGCGAGCAAAATATTACTTATCCTCTTGATGCTGGCTAATAAGAAGGTTGATGAGGGCCGTACTGGTAACATTGGTAATGATGGTGAAGATCGCGTTAGTGTTGTAAGTGCTGTCACGGCGCAAGCCAGACATCTACCTGTGCAACCCGCAGTTAAACGTTCTCCCCTGAAACGATCAGTGAGTGACATCTCATTAAACGTTGGTGGCCATATTGCTACAGCTGCGACTAGTGGTCCAGATAAGACAATTACTGTCCCGATTTGTTCTAATGTAGATGTTTCGACTGATGGAAAATGGATTACGCGAAAACGCAGAAGAGTAGGAAAGACAGCTAAAACTAATGACTATTCACTTGATAAGTCCTTGGTGGACTCTCAAACCAATCCGCCAAAGTCCCAAAGTAAAGCTTCGTCTAACATTGTTGTCAGTCACTCGCTCGACTCCCAAGACTCTGTTACAATAAAAACTAATCGTAAGATACCAGTAGTTAATATACAGGATCTAACATCAGAGTCGAAAGCTGTTAACACAATTTCAAAGGAAGCTAAACCCCTTCATAATTAAATTATTTAGAATCTAGAGGAATCGAAAGACAACGACCCTGCTAGAAGACATGCACATGACCTGTAGTTAGTGGAGTCTGTGGTAAGAAATCTACTACCTGAAGAGGTTTCAGGGGTATATATTACAAAAGTAATACGACTTGGTAAATGGGTTGGAGGCGAGACCCAACCAAGAAGAATCCTGAAGCTGATTCTCGGGAGTTTTGAAGAAAGAGATATATTATTGAAAAACGCACTAAAACTCGTTACTCAAATATCCATATTCGACCATATTAGCCGCTTGAGGATCGAATCAAGTGGAAGAATGCTCTTACAGAATTGAGAACTCGCAAGCTAAATGGCGAAAATAACCTTACCATTAAGGGTTTTCGGGTAGTCAGGTCTTGGAAGCCAATGCTTCCGAGGCCTGTATGGGTAGAACGATTGATTGCCAAAACACCTTAAGTGTGTGCTACACGAACGCTCGTAGTCTTAGAAATAAAACGTCCGAGTTAAATCTGATGGTGGAAGAATGATGTCCTGATATAATCGTTGTTACAGAAACTTGGTTCACAATAGATATAGACGGTTCTCTCATTATTGCAGGCTATATCTGTATTAGAAGTGATAGTTTCAAGTCGCAAAGGGGGAAGTATAATATTATACGTTAGGGATCACTTTTGTATACAATCAACCATATCGGAGGCTCATATCAGTGGCACATGTGAGGTTGCATGTTGTAAGATTAAATCTAGAAATGGGTTAGTGACTATAGGGGGATTATACCGTAGCCCGTTTTGTCTTGCTGGTTAATTTATCCTAAGACACATCTGTTCTTGGAGTATGGCAGAATGTTGTCTCATCATTGGGGACTTCAACGCACCTCATATCAACTGGATAGAGCTTACAGCTCCAGGTAGTGGTTTCGATAGCGATCTTTTATCTACCGTTATTTAGTGTGCACTTGTACAATGTACAATGCAGAAGCTCACGAGCTTCGGAATAATAGGTACTGTACATGAATGGATAGGAAACTTCTTAGGAGTAGTAATAAGTCATGATTTAAAAACAACTACGCATTGCAAAGCTGCCGCTGTCAAAGGTTTTCGTGCGTTGTGGTCACTTCACTGAGCGTTTCGAATTTTATATCCCATATATGTAAGACCACATTTAGAGTACTGTATCCAGGCAGCTAGCCCGTGTCTGATAAAGGATACTAACTCCCTTGAGTGTGTGGGAACGAAATTAGTGAAGGGTCTTTCTAGACTCCCTTACGATGAGCGTTTCAAACGCCCAAACCTTTTCCCCTTGTCGTATCGTATGACACGAGGTGACCTTATACTGGCATTTCGTATCTTTAATTATGATTCGGGTGTTAATATGTCTTATCTTTTTGCTCCCTCCAGCACTAATAATCTCCGAGGTCATAGCAAGAAGGTTCATAAACCACGATCTAATAAACTTAAAGTGGGGTCCCGTTTTTCTCATCGAGTAGTCAATGATTGGAACTCCTTACCCGAACAGGTGGTATCAGCCCCATCAGTGAATATTTTCAAGGAAAAGCTGGACCTTCATTGGAAAGCAATGTGTCAGGATTAACACAGGTTCATCAACCTACTATCCTTATTACTGAAGACGGAGAAGAAACTGAGGAGTTAGCTTGGTTTCAGTCATATCTAGGATATCTTAACTACGATTCTACCCTTAACCACCATCATGCTTGATGTATGTCATGAACTTTATTTGATTGCAAGACTGTCTCGAACTCAACAAAACTGTTTAGAGTTTTCTTTTCGGAACTTATATCTGGGAGACTCATTGACATCTTTACAATACCTTACAAATTTATCTTTAACACATTTTCAAATACACCCGGAAATCGACTGTGATTTCCTCCTGATTTACATAAATAGTAAATTGTTCTTTCGAAAAAGGTGAACATATTTTGGATATCAGTACTGGTTTTCGTTATTTAGGAAAGCGTCATTTTATCTTCCGTAGCCTACTTCTCAGTTTTTCGTGGTAAAAGGTTTGATTTCTGTAATCTGCAGTCAAAAAATGTCTCTCTTACGTCCGTTACAGTGGACTCAGTATGCTTAATCGCCTTTGTGTAACTCGACTTTCAGGTTTGTAGTGATGTGACTCTTTCACATATAGTAGATATATTTTACATATATGAAGACCTTGGGTTACATTTAAACCTATCGTAATGACTCAGGGATACGTATATTCACTATCTTCTTGTAACTCGTCGTTTCCTACTTTACATTTATGGACTCCATTTATTTTGTGGAATTAGTTTTGTTTCATAGTTCTATGTTTTCTTTTATTTATATAAAATGTAACAATTAGGATAAGTACATATTTTATGCCTGGTTCCGTTTGCTACGATTTTGGTCGACAACTTGATTTTCTCACTGGTGGCTTCAGTTAAGTTTTTTTTCCATCCCTTTTTTTCCAGCGTTCCCTCGAAGGTCATGTCGGAGATATATATACCTGTAAATTTTTTCCATCTGGGCTAGTTGCACTCACAGCAGGCAGTGATATGCAGTTGAAAATTTGGTGTCTCATTACTGGTCGTTGTGCAGCCACTCTTGGTTTAAATTGCACTAATTCTAATAATAAAAATGAACCAGGAGGTCATAGGACTGGTATCCTAGACACGGCCATCATAGATCGTGGTCGTAATATTGCTTCTATAGATCGACTAGGTTGGTTAAGGCTATGGGATGTGGCGACACAAGTAAGTAAATTAAATTTGAATGAATACAAGTCCAAGGTTTTTTCATCCACTTTAAACTTTCGTACGAATAGTTAGAAATAAGGGAAATAGCAGAAGTTGTCACCACTAAATTCCATATCAAATGAGTTTTTAATTGCACGTAATAGTAAAACGCTATTGGCTGGAACATATGTTCCTGTAGGTTCTACCATGCCAGGAAGGTCGATTGGAGAACGGTAAGACTAAAAGCAGCAACTCAGGGTCTGAGGGCGAAGTCGTACTGCTAATTGTAGAGGGGTGTGACAACATTAAGGTGTTTCCCTCGGACAACGAGCATCTGCAGCGATGCTGCCTTCCCACAAGAAGGGGTGAGGTTAGAAAAGGTCGACCCTAAAAATGTCACACCTCACGGATTTCCGTCTCCGGCGGTAAGGCCCTTTGAAGAACGGAGCTAACTCACTAAAAACCTTCCACAAAAGGGCCGTGCGCGACCGGCCTCAAGCAGCTGTCCCTTGGGCTCTGTGGTCACGCTCCCAGGTCATCAAGACCAACACTAATCCAATTTCATTTTCGGTTCCTCAAGAAATACCCTTCCACGGTGTGGGCAACCGGGAAGTGATATCAGCCCTCATACCCGTAACAGCGCACGAAACCAAGTTGGTCACATTCAAATCCTTCCTACACCTCCTAATACCTTTCTTATTTCCATGACTAACCCTCCTCACGTTTCTTTACCACCTCGCATCGCTAGGGCAAACGATTCGAGTACGCGGAACGCTATTCCTGGTCTCCTGAAACCACGCTCTAAACTACATGTAGGAGCTTTTAACGTCCGAACACTGTGCCAAATAGGACAACATGCTTCCTTAGCTAGGACTTTAGAATCCCGCGCCATCGATGTGTGCTGCGTCTCCGAAACGCGCATACAGCATCCTAGTAGCGTCATTCATCTGACCTCACCATGCCAAAATAAAGAACCGACTCGATTCACACTTCGTGTATCTGGAAGCCCTGATCCTGCTTCCCGTGGCCTCGCCGGCGTAGGCATAGCATTGAGTCCTAGGGCAGAACTAGCTCTCTTAGAGTGGATCCCAGTAGACAGTCGTTTGTGCGCTGTCCGACTGAACGGAACAGTAAGGATCCGAAAAGATAGGGACACTCGTCGTTGCCTCTTCGTCGTTTCTGCCTATTCTCCCACTGACTGCAGCTCAGATGATGTAAAAGATGAGTTTTACAGAAAACTCTCCAATCTCCTCTTAAAGCTAGGCGCTCGGATGTAGTAATAGTGGCCGGTGACTTTAATGCTCAAGTAGGTGAACTAAGCGATAGGGAAAGACACCTAGGTGGATCTTATGGAGTCGTGGCTCAAAGAACAGATAATGGCGACCGTCTGTTGTAGCTATGCTCGGATAACCGCCTCTTTCTTGCAAATACTAACTTTAAGCATAAGGAAAAACATCTTTTAACATGGAGACCCCCTAATTCGTCCCAGCGTTGGACCCAAATAGATCACATCGCTATCAGCCACCGATGTAGGGGCTCGATAGAAGACTGTCGCTCATTCTGGAGCACATGCTTAGATTCAGATCACGCTCTAGTACGAGCGCGTATCTGTCTGCGTCTTACTGGATGTAGGAAAGACGCTGCAAGTGAACCTCTTAGGGCCCTACTTAATGATAGTCAAGCTAAGAGTATATTTCAGGAACAACTAAAAAAACAGTTAGGCAGCCGTGTATGTGATGCCCACCTCGAGGCAGCATGGAATGATATGCGTAAAGCTGTGGAAACAGCAGTGATATCTGCTAGTACGGTAACCCGTAAGGTTAGGGAACGATACTAGATCTCAGAAGCATCTATCGCACTGATAGATGCACGGAAACTCATTCCACCTGGCTCTGAACATAATGAAGAGCGGAGTCAGCTTAAGCGCAAGCTGACAAGAAGTCTACCCAATGATCGTGAACAGAGGTGGGTAGCGAAAGCAAAAGAGATGGAAAAGGCAGCGGCAATAGGTAATAGCAGACAATTGTTCAGACTTGTTACGGAAACCGATTGTTGGCGAAAGACTCTCAGAGAAAGATGGACATATTATACACTCTCAATCCAGGAGATTCGATCGATGGGCAGAACACTTCAGGGATCAGTTCAACTGGCCTTCAGCCACACTTCGATTTCCCACGATCTCTAGTCAACCTGAGTGGCAAGTCAATGTAGGTCCTCCGTCTCTTTACGAAGTTGAATAAGCCATAGGAAATCTGAAGCGAGGGAGAGCAGCAGGCCCTGACAAATTTACTCCTGAGATTTTTAAGGATGGTGGTTCAGTATTAGCAATGAGATTAACTGAGGTCTTAGGTAGAATTTGGGAACTGGACGTAATCCCATCTGACTGGTCTCAATCACTGATTGTGCCAGTCTTTAAGAAAGGACAAAAGTCATCTTGTGACAATCACAGAGGAATCAGTTTGACTAATATAGTGTCTAAAATATTAGCTTCATTAATACTTTGACGCCTAATCAAAGCTCGTGAAGAACAGACTAGAGAAAATCAGGCTGGTTTTCGACCTGGACGTGGTTGTATAGACCAAATATTCACACTACGTCAGGTCCCAGAACACAGACACACATTAAGACGCCCCACAATCGCAGTATTTCTCGACCTTAAGGCGGCATTCGACCCTGTTGTTCGAGAGGTTTTGTGGCAGTGTTTGTCACTGAAAGGAGAACCAAAGAAGTACATTAACTTATAAAAGTTCTCTACTCGAACACAACTGGTAGAGTGAGAGCTTATGGCGAACTGTCATCAGAATTGATTACCTCAATTGGTGTTCGTCAGGGCTGTCCACTCTCTCCATTCTTGTTCAACTTTGTGGTCGACGTACTTTTAGAGATAACACTCTCCTCATCTAAATTTCCAGGGGTTGAACTTCTACCGGGAGGTTCACTTGTTGACTTAGAATATGCTGATGACACAGTTTTATTTGGCGAAGACGCTGACAAAATGCAGAGTCTTCTGACCACTCTAAGCAACAATGCAAGCATGTTCGAGATGTGATTCTCTCCCTCGAAATGCAAAATGTTGCTTCGGGATTGGGTTGCATCGACACCCGAACTAATGATAGGGAGTGAAGCAATTGAGCGTGTCGATCGCATCACTTATCTTGGAAGTCTCATCAGCCCTTGTGGTCTGTGTGACGAAATCTCAGCACGGATACAGAAGGCTCGATTAGCTTTTGCCAACTTGCGTCATTTATGGCGTAGGCGAGATATCCGTCTATCAAACAAAGGACGGGTTTACTGCACAGCAGTTCGTTCCGTCCTACTTTATGGCAGTGAAACATGGTCGGTAAGAGTAGAGGATATTCGTAGGTTACTAGTATTTGATCATAGGTGTCTTCGAAATATTGCTCGTATATCCTGAGAACACCGAGTAAGTAATTCAATTGTTAAGAAACGGGTACTAGGTAAGGATGGCAAATCGATTGATGACGTAGTGAAACTTCATTAGTTGAGATGGCTGAGACACGTGTTACGTATGTCCAACGACCGACTGCCTTGACGTGCGATGTTCAGTGGTATAGGAGTAGATTGGAAGAAATCTAGGGGCGGCCAGACCAAAACATGGCACAAGTCCATGAAGTCATTGACAAATGGACTGAGTCGTGTCGGTAGGTGTAGACTACCTGGTTGGGGACCGCGAGATGATAGCAACCGATGGTTAGGGACCTTGAATGACATGGCTCAAAATCGCTTGCAATGGCGCAGGTGCATCCACTCTTTGTGTTCTCCCAAATTTTGATCTCCTGATTCCCCCTTGTCTCTTTTTTTTCTCTTCCCAAGTTTATTTCACTGTATTATACTCTTTAAGTAACATCTCCAAACACTAATCTTTCCGATTACTGCTTATACTCTTATTACCTCTACCACTACGGGATTTGAATCGACCACTGCATCTCTGTGCTAATGTGGTGTGGCAACTCGAACTGATGTACGTACGTACGAAGTTCTACGTTGTTACTGACTGACTGACTGAATAGTAAAACGATTATCGTTTTCTTTGCTATGGAAGGCTAGAACGTTGTATTTTGGAGTGTTATGAGACTTGTGCGAGACTTCCCCAAGGCATTTTGTGCAACACCATGATCTAAAAATAATCGTTGAATTCCTCTTAAAAGTGTTACACAGAGAAATAAATCTATTTCATCATCAGGCTAAATAGCTCAATGGTCAGCCAACCGTAATTAACAAAGAGCCTCATGTCAGTGGAAGATGCCGTACGAAATCAGCACAAGATGAGATTAACATAATGAGTAACTGAAGTGTCGAAATAATAGTAACACTAGTCACTAACGGTATGATCCGACAAGACGTAGTGAAAACGTTTTGTGTTGTTGAAATTTGAAAAAGCGGAAGTTAAAGTCTGAAAGCATTTGGGTCATAGTAACCAACAGTGTTACCCATCTTCAGTCACTGATTGCGGTTATCGCGTAGATCCCATCTAGCTAGTCTAGATCTACTAACAAGGCTCAGACCTACGGCTACTTACTTTTTAAACTGATCCCTGGTCTTGGTTTGGCAGCCCCTTTTTCCCGTTTTGATTTATATGGTCGACAGTACGTTGTGATAGACGAGTTTTGAGTACAAGCAAAACATTTATCATCCTCAACAACAGAGTACTAGTTAGTTGACATGGATTTGAGCTACATGTTTGCGTGAAGTCTAACAAAACATATTTCCTGGCTAGTTGTATACTGCTTTTTGGAATTCATAGTTTTTACCTGTTATGGCAAAAATATAAACTGTGCTATTCGAGATATTGTGTATTAGTCAATATGCACTGATATGAAGTGCAGAAACATATCTTTCAACCTTTCTAAATCTGGAGTATACATCAGACAATAGGAAAAACTGAAGTTCACCGAAATAGTCTTTTTTTTAGAAAAACCTTGATTTGGTGCACAGAAAATATTTGTCTTAAAATTCCAAATATAACAATACATATTTAAATACATAACTTAGCAGTTTAATTACTTGAGTTGGTACTATTAATTTAGGGGTGTAGGACGTATTTTGAGCTACCAGTATTGACGTTATGCATAAGCTACTAGGCAAATCGGTTGATGAGTTTATGAATCCTTATTAATCAAAGCAGCCAATACATGTATTACGTATGTTTAGTAACCTCTTACTTCGACGAGCATTGCTTGCTAGTGTAGGAGTAAGTTGTAGGAAAGCTAGAGACGACATAGAATCAGTTCATGAAGTCCCTAACTGTTTATCTGAATCATGTAAATAAATGAAAACTGGCTGGGGCCCGCGTGATTAGTAGTTGAGGACCTTGATTAACATAATGTAAAATCGTTAATAATGGCCCTAATGCATTCACTCATTATCTTCTTTCAGATTTGAATGCCATCATTGCTTCATACATCTCTTTACACTCCCCTTGTTTCAATCCTTAGCCTTTTTCACTATCATCACTACCACATTGTTCCTGTCTCACTTGATATTCTTGTCAGTTTCATCTCATCGCCCTATTGCAGTATGATACTTAAGGTCAGTTTAAACAAATGCCAGATTCTATGTTGATGATAACTCATTGGCTACAAATCGTGTTTCACTCACACTGATTATCGCTAATCCTCATACAAGTGTTGGATGCATGGAAATTTACTTAATTATCAAGGTATATTAACATTGTTGCAAGTTATCATCCTGTAGTTTGTATACAACTATATAGCAACTAACAAATGGTCAAACCTCTGTTTTTTTTCGAACAGAAATTTTAAAATGGATGTAATTAATCCAAAAACACCCATATAGAAAATAAACGTTCAAATCCGCTTAGATTCAAAAAGACAATTTCAAAATAGCTAAACTTCTGAAATTAGGAAGTTAAAAATATTAATTCTATTGCGTTGTATATTCTCACTTATTCCATTTAGACTTGTATATCAGCAATCCCAGTAACCCTTAGTGCTGTTAAGCCACATACTGTTTCTTCAACGGTTCTCGAAGAAATAACATGTTTAGCAATCCGAAAACATCCTAGTTTACCGATTCAAACAGCTGATCTCATCAACCCAGATTCCTGGTATGAAGGCAAGTTATGGGTTGTTTATTTTAATTATATTGTAATATTAAAACCTTTTTGAATAAAGACAGTAACAACTGCAAATATTCTAATAGCAAAATATATTTCACATTTAGGTTGTGCATCACCATTCCTCATCATGCATACATGTCAGACTAAAGTATCATTTCCAGTTGCTATTCATCATTTTCATATCTGCTTTCGATTCTCAAAGTTGTGTGTTCCTTGGTCTTCTTTTTTTCGTATTCCTTCAGAGTTTCAAGTTAGCGTTTGCCTCGTGGTACAGTTTCATGATTTTCGTAATGCATGTCCTATCTACCTCGAACGTGTTTCTCTAACTTCTTCTTCAGGTTAAAGCCGGCTTATTCTCTCTCATAGTAGGCTGTTACTGATGGTATCCGGTCAATGGATATTGAGTATCGTGCGCAGAAAACTGTTTATAATTACTTGCACCTTTTGGCGATAGTTGTAGTAATCTACGTTTCAGCTTCGTACAGTAAAACTGTCTTGACGTTCATATTGAAGATCCTGACTTTGAAATTAGCTGACAGATAGTTGTTTTGAGTTCCATATGTTCTTCAACTGTAGGAATGCGGCCCTTGCATTTACGTCTGCATCGGGTCCGCCTTGTTTATCGATGATTTTCATGTACGTATACTTTTACTCCTCTTCTAGAGCTTCTCCATCAAGTGTGGTTGTGTTCGCTGTGTCGTATCTCAAGATTTGGCCTTTTCCTTTGTGTATGTTGAGGACTACTGCTCCACTGGCTGTCTTCACTTACATTTGTTGTTGTGTATGTGATAGAAGTCCAAATCGTCTAGTTGCATCCAAGCTGCCCACTATATTTTGTGCTTCCCCTGATATATATATATATATATACATCTAAATTCAGATGCATTGTTTACATGTTGATTTATTTCTTAACAGTTCAAGAGACATCTTCAACAACAGCCCAAGAAGTTGCTACATCGGATGCCTTGATTGCTGTTGGGACCGGTACTAATGCATCAGTTCGTTTATATGAGCTGGGTGCTCGTCAGAAAGGTTGTGTTGCTCAGTGTACATTACCGAGTGCCAGTGGATCGGTCGAAGCATGTGCTTTTCCTGAAGATATACCGATACCGTTTTCAAAAGAAATTCAATTCATCGATGTACCTAGAAGTTGTGTTTCTAGCTTTATGGACTATGGAATTTTTGCCGGTAACCAGCAAGGAGAACTTGCCTCATGGGATATACGTCAAACAAAACAACCGTTATGGCAGTTAACTCGTAAGTTGATATTTAAGAAAGTTACCAACCTTCTTGAAATTGAGTTACGTCAAAAAAAAAACTAAGTAGGATAATAATAATTGCCAATAATATTTAATCCTAAAAATTTCATAATGCTGTGCCATTGAATATTTGTTTAATTCTTTGAAATAGATGAAAAAGGTGCTGTTCAACAAATACGTGTATGTAGGCGACCTAATTGTCAATATCTATTGCTTGTTGTTAGCCGAAATGACGGACGAACTCTTGTTTATCCGTATGATCCAGCAACAGCACATAGTGATGCACAAATCCCTACTAGTCTGGAGCTTACTGGAGTGAATTGTGAACCTATATGTGGTCTTTCAATGGTTTATAAACCATCAGGAGAAATCGGTGTTTGGAATGCAGCTCGCGGTGGAACTGTTAATCATTACACCAAACTTTTAGATGAGATAACGTTTAAAAACTTATAAGTGATCACAGATGTCAAATGCGTGAAAATCGGATTCTTGTTTTGTCAACACGGTAAATTTTATCCTTGCATTGAAAACCACGATATTATATTTATCATATGCGTACAAATTGTTCTGAAAACAAACCAGTGATTTTTTTTAAAAATATCTTGTTATAAAATCACTCAAAAAGAATAAATTAACGACGATCAGTTTTCCCAGTCCCTCGTTTGCCTGAAAACAGATGTTTTGGCTTTAGTGTTGGAATATGACGATCTCCTTCTCCCTTCCGTGCTAATGTTACCACCTTACGTTGAGCAATTTTGGACATGCGTTTAACGGTATCATGCATTTTTTCATCACGTAAACCAGATCTAGATCGCGACACAGACGCACGTGCAATTGAAGCCTCACGGTGCAGATTTGGTGCTGAGTTCCGTGCTCTAGCAGCTCTCTTTAGTGAACGACCACGTTCGCCCTAAAAATTATCAAGAAGAACAAATACTTAAGGTTATTTTGTCGACTAAACGTACGAAATGTGAAAAAGCTATTCAATATAAGCAACAAGTCCTCTATCTGTGGAAAATTCCGACCAGATTGTTGAGAAAGTATGTGATTTAAACAGCTAAAATCCCTTCGAAAATTTATATAACTATACTTCTAAGAGTTGATTGAAAGAGAGAAATAAAGAAACGCTGACTTACTTGTTCATGCATATCCACTTCTAAACCAAGCTCACCCAGCTCCTGATGTATTTTATGTACACTGACTGAACGGGCACTTCGAGGTACTTGAGGTCTACGTACTTGCTTACGAGCTCGTGATTCCAAAACACGCAATGCTCGTGCTTCTCTTATCCTATAATAGAGACGATTACATGCACTTAAGCCAGATATAACACAACAAAGCTTACGAAGAAAAAAATTGATCACAAAGAAGATAATTCATTCTAGTCAAAAGGTTTACTATGGTTCATGGTGCAGTCACACCAAACATGTGACACGAATAGGCTAACGCATAGACAGAAAGTAGGACAAAAAATCTGAATTAATCTCACTTTTAAGCGTTGATGCATTTGGATGGTATATTTTTAAATTTCATGCTGCTGGGTTTAGTAGCTTCTCACTTTATTACTATTAAAATACTGATCATGAAGATATAACAGTTTGACAGGTCAACAATATCAACATACAAAAAAATCAAGCTTCTTCTCTTTCAAATCTAGCTGAAGTTACTAACGGTTACATATATAGTTTCAATAGAATATGTAAAACGTCTTACCTCGCTGCGGTTTCTTTGATTTTTTTCATTTCTGGGTCATTTTCCTGCTTCAGTAGTTCAGATTCATCGTAAAACCCTGCATTTTCGAAAGCAGCCTCTTGTTCTTCCAGAGCATTCAGTTTCTCCTCAATTTCAGGATCGAATAGGTCGATCAAGTTATGTCCATTCAAAATCTCAGGGATTATATCATTTGCCTCTTCAGGACATTTTATACGCCAATGCTCTCTTAAATTTAATATGAAGCCTTCATCAGGATCAGCTTCTGGTTCACGATCACGCAATGTTCGACAACGTTTCGATGAGTCTTCATCTTCGTCTTCAAGTTGCGAGCTAGGTTGGAGTGAATTAGCAATACGAAGACGTTTTAGCATACGTCTCCTTTGTTTATCTAGAACACCGTCGGGGATTATCGGTGGACGAGATGGTGCGTCTGTCTATATTAAAATAAATTTGTAAGAAAATTGCATCGATCAGGGTGAATGTAGAAAAAAAATGTCATCGGACAGTTATAACTAGGACTGTGTGAAAAATATTAACATTTAAATAACAGCTCTTGATATTTATTTTATTTGAACACATAAATATTGGTACAAGAGGGCACCAAATATATGCGCTACACAAAACAACGAGAATAGGAAGAGTAAAAAAAATAAGGTAAGGAGCGTAAAAGAAAAAAAAGAACATTTACGACCATAGATTAGTGTAAGGTAGTGTACTACTACTACTAACAATAATAATAATAATAATGGGGGAAACGGAAAGGTACAACCAGAAGAACTCTTTTAGTTAAAGAAGATACAACCACTTTTTATGAAGAAAGTAAAAGAAGGTTACAGCAGGATCGCCACTAGCTTCTATTCTGAGCCACATCTGATAACGTCTCTAGCCACCGTGTCGCACCCAGTCAAGGAGTCGCGAAGGACCAACAGGAGCCAGCCCTTTGCAGCTTTATTTCATGCCTCGACACCATGTCATACACTGACTACCTCTCCGCTTTTTCCAACCAGTCCCAGCGTCGGCAAATAATGCACGACGTGGAATTCTCTGGGACGACATTCGTAAAACATGTTCAGGCCACCGAAGTCGGTGTTTCAAGATGGTGACACTAATTGCATTATCGTCTCTGTGCCCGAACACACGATGCCGAACCTCTGCATTACTAACATAGTGTTGCCATTAGATGTCAGCAATCCTTCGGAGACAACGATGATCAAGCACACAGAGTCATCTAACATCCTCAACTCAGAGAGACCAGGTTTCACAAGCACAGAGCAGAACTGCTCTCACCGACGCGTTGTAGATTCGACCTTTTACAGCCAGACTGACATCACGAAGGTGCCAAAGATGTCCCAGATTGGCTCTGGCTTTCACTATACGTGCACTGACATCACCACTTACGCCACCACCAGCACTTGTGCAGCTATCTAGATACACGAACTTCTATCTGCTCACCATCCAGGGCGAGTACAGGATTAGAATACTGCCGATCTTGTAGAAGTACTTTGCACTTCGAAGGTGCAAAGCACATACCGTATCTACGGACATTGATTGCTAACTGATTAAGTGCGGATTGCATGGCTTTAGGATTATCGCACATACTTAAGATTGAGAAGTCATCGATGGCAAAGAGGAATGGTGAGATTGGGCAACCCTGTCTAACCCCACTGCTTGAGTAGAACAATGAAGAAAGGTGGTTGTATGCTCTCACTCTACCTGAGGTGTTTTTATATAGGGCCTTTATGATGTTTATAAACTTCTCGGACACACCCTTCTTCAATAGACAATCCCAGAGAACAGTCCTGTCCAACGAATCGAAGGCAGCCCTAATGTCAAGAAACACTACGATTGTTGGCTTGTGATAATTATGACGGTGTTCTTACATTTGGCGGAGGGTGAAGATATGATCAATACATCCTCGACCAGAACGAAACCCAGCCTGCTCCTCGCGAGTCAATCTTTCTTGGGTTTTGAACAACCTACGAAGTATGACGGAAGGCAATATCTTGGACGCAATCGGAAGTAGACTTATCCCCCGATAGTTGTTACAGGAACGACGTGAACCCTTTTTAAAGATAGGGACAACTATCGACTCAATTCATGACGTTGGTACGCTTTCTAGTCCCCAGATCTTTGTAAACAACGTTGTCAGTTCTTAGCAAGAAAGTCACCACCATCTCTAAAAAGAGTTGGAGGCAAGTCATCTGGGCCCGGTGATTTGTAGCGCTTCAAGAGTTGGAGTTCTTTGCGGGCTTCCGCCTCATTTGGTGGATCAGTCGTCACCGGGAATGAGGGGCAGGACAGTCCGACCGATGTTGCCGGAGCAGCAGACCAGTTGACCTGCCCTTCGAAGAATTCTGCCCATTGTCCAAGACGTCGATGGATGTTAGTGATTGGCATCCCGTCATCCTCGCAGACTGTTTCGCTCACACCAGACTTCTTGCTGCTAGTGGCTTGGATGAATTGGAAGAGCTTCCGGTAGTTACCGGATGCAGCTGATGCTTTCAGCTCATTAGCACGCCCCGACCACCAGGCTTCTCGGTCCTTACGCAAGCTTTGCTCGATTTCATTACGTAACAGCCTTCGTTTGTGGTGATATGTTTGAAATGTTTGAGATTGATTAACTCAACTCAATTACCATGTACGGATTTGTGTACTTTGCTTTCAGTAAGTATAAAGGTTAACGATACTGCCCGATTGGTCAAAACCAAGTGGGATGTGGTTTGAAATTGTGACTGTGGTCGGAAGTTGAACACCCTAACGACTGAGCTACTGCGTGAGATTAGCATTGCCTAAGCTGTGACTCGCCGGAGTATTAAAGGTCGTGAAACCTAATGACTTCAGATGTTGTCGGATATGGCTCATTATCAATATCTGTGACGATAGTGAGGCAGTTGAGTGAAGTCAATCTTGAGGTTTTATTTTGTCTAGTTGCACAAATTATGATACAACACGGTAAATAAGTCCAGGTTTTTATACGGATTTTTGAGATATACTTTTGTAAGAAGGCTAATGATTTTACTTGGACGTCAAAATCACACAAGATGGAATTGAATCCCAACACATAGATGCGGTATATTCCGTGAACTGGGACAGTGATGTTTTATCAAGTGACAAGTGTTAGATGTAGAAGCATATAAAACCACAAAAACAGCATGTAATATAACTATTCACCTGCAAAAAAAGTATGACATTACCTTGTTTCCGTCTGGTTTCGGTTTAGCTATATACAATCGATTAGAGATATCAACATTACTGCCTGGCAGAGCGGCAGCTCGAATTTTTGCTTGTACACGTTGAGCTAACAAGTCATCACATGCAACTGAACGAACAGTTACTAAACCAACCTCAGTAACGGTGGACATTTCTACAAAGATCGGTCGATCCGGATCTCTGATCTGTCTATCAGTATGCCACTGGACAATACCATTAATTGATTGTTTATCTTCCTCAGATAATGCTTCAAATGGTTTGATATCAACCTGGAAAGAGTGAATTGGAAGTTATTAAAGTTCTTACGATTCTTTAAAATGTTTTTAATGAATGAAACCAGTTAGTCATTAGCTTCATTTTAGAAAAATATCAATAAGCCACCATTACATGGAAACGTGTTAAGATTATTTGGAATACAAAATTATCCATTTACTAGAAAGTATGTGGTTTACTCCTAATGAAGACTGAGTTTGTGAGTGGTTCATTCAAATAAACATAATACAGAGAAACCTACCTTAAGCATCTGTTAGTACAACACTTATTTTCTATGCACTTAAATGTCATGTTCAATTTACGACTTTATTTGTATGACGAAGATTGAAAGATACTTATCTTGCCATATATAATTGAACTTTACTACTAATCACTTCTTTTTACCGAAATTCTGGGAATTTCTTCTAGAAATTGGTCACTAATAAATGTCTGGTTTATATTAATGCACGTGTATAGAGATTATTAGTTTATGG